ACATCAAGCCAAAGATTCAAGAACCACTCCCGAGCTCTTCCGATCTAAAAAAAAAAAAAAAAAAGCAAACCATCTAGGTACATGGTAGAAAAACCACTAAAACAGAAGACTTGAAAAACAAAGTTAAAATTAATGAGAAAGAAAAAAACACATACCAATGAAAGAATGAAAATATGGGCAGTGGGTTTATCAACAGAAAAATAGGTATGACTCTGAAAAAGTTTCCAATAAGAACATCAAGGATTAAAACGGCAGGCCAAAAGGTTAACATTTCTGACGTACTACTTTTAAAATCACAAGCAGTGTGTCGTAGGGTTTTTTTTTTCTTTCTGCCATAAAAAAATCAACACTAACTCAGTAGTTCAAAATAAAATCAACAGCGCCCGCGCGTTGTCACACTTCTGTAAGTAACAGATAGGTCTTGGTTGGCTCAGTTTCACGTAGTCACCATCATTTGTGACATAAGATAACTGAAAAACAGTTTGTTCAACTGCATGGTAGTCTGGGAAAAACCAATTAGAACAATGAAAAACTATTTGCATCCATGTTTACTACTGAAAAAAAAAAAGTCTAAAATTTGACGTGGGTGTGTAAAGATACAGTTGTAAAGTAGCAAACTTACAGATACTTTGTAGCCAAAGTTAACAATCAATTCATGGCCCGTCACTGTGTTCCCACTGCTTGTCATATAGCTAGCATGTTAAATTCAGTCAACCTGGACTGTCTGCATCCAGCAGCTTTTCTGGTAATGCGCTGGGCCAACTTAATTGTGTTCAGCTGAACTTTCTCCTCAGTTGGAAAAATATATGTTTCCAACTTGCTTCAAGGACTTTACCTGTGAGACAGACTGGCCCACTCAAGGACCATTCAACTCTGTTCCACGCACACGCCCTCTCCTTGTCTCCAGAATGTTCCTTCTCAGTGATGAGCAATTCCAATTTCCATTTGCTTGACAACATAGGACTCAATGCATGTAAGCAATCATGGAATAATCTGCCATCAGCTTTGTACTTCCTGCTTGTGAACTATTTAAGCTGATCTGTGGTCTGGTGATTGGGCTGATTCCCACCAGCCTGCTAGCATAATGAAAGTTGCCTTCTAACTCTTCAGTGCAAAGAGTCTTCCATTTAGTTTGATACTGGTTTTCTGTAACAGGTAAAGACAGAGAAAACAAGGTGAGGGAACAGCATTCACATAGATAGTGTTCACACTGTGCTGCAGCCTGAGCTAGGCTCTCGCAAGGAATTGTTTGGGATTTCAGTTTAAACAGGAGGTACAAAATAGGGAAAAGTGGCCACAGAAGCTGCCGGACTACGGAGGAATGGTCTCTAGGCTGTGATGCTGTTCTCTGGAAGGAAGCCGTAAAGCATTCAAGAAAGTCCTGTAGGGAAGTGGTGGTATCCGGTATCCTCCAGACATGCAGATTGTGCAGATATGCAGATTGTACCAATCCTGCCCTGGCAGCAAAATGAAGAATGGATACTGGAGACGAAAGCCATGAAGGTTTCTGGCACAGACAGCAGTGGGAATGAGGTCACGCACCAGAGCAGGGTCCTGCTTCAGTAAATTCACCACAGGCAGAATGATGATTTCAGAAGTGCCTTTGGGGTCCAGTGATCCTTAGTTTCTACAAGTCTGAAGTTCAGCAGGAAAGCCCAGATGATAGATAGATAGATATAGATAGATAGATAGACAGATAGATAGATAGATAGATAGATTTTTTTTCCTCAATTGCTCATTGGAGTAATGATGGCTACTGAAGCACAGTTCATGGGTAATGTCACATCAATGGATCGTGATGGAAATAAAAGAAGTGCAAGACTAAGATCCTAGGGTCAGCACCTGAAAGACGGGTAAAGGAAGAGAAATCTGAAAGGAGCAATTAGTTTGATGGAGGAAAAAGCAAGGAAATGTGAATTTTAAAAACTAGGGTCTATCATCCAGAAGCAGATACGTGAAGAGGCAGCACTCAGTGTGCCAACCCCTTTTGTTTCAGTGGAAGACAGAAGGGGTCAGTACAGGTGAACCCATTTCTAAGTGAATGCAGAAAACACAGTTCTCTTAGAGGAGCAGTCTTTCAGTGAGGCGATCTGCTGAGAATGAAAATAGAGGTGGGCTGGTGAGATGGCTCAGTGGTCTAAAGCACCTACTTAGAACAAGCTTAGCAAAGCACAGGGACCGCGGTTCAATCCCCAGCACCACATGCCAGCCAGCCCCGCCCCCTGGTGGGCTGAGCTGGCCACACACACACACACACACACACACAAATAAATAAAAAAAGAAAAAGAAAATAGAGGTGTGGGACAGGGATCCGAATGTGGTGTGAGCACTGGCGTGGCTCATGAAGAAGACAGCTGGCTGCCAGTCATGGAGGCTGCCCCTGGACACCGGGCTGCGGGGGAGGGGATCGCTAATATTATAGTAGCAGCAGTCTACCTTGGGGTGTGCATGTGTGTGCATGCGTGTGCATGCTTGTGCATGGGTGTGTGTGAGTACATGTATTCACTCTAGCTGTTCCAAACCACCAGCACACATACAGGGTTTTAAATAAATGAAACACTGGGTGATTGGTTGAAATGTCTTTGAGATATTGCTATTTAAGTGAGGAAGAAGGGCAAATGCTGACATTCATTAGTGACTTTGGACCTGAGAATCAGTCTCTCTGAACCTGTGCTCTCGTCTATAAAATGAGAGAAAGCAGTGGCTGTCTCCATTGATTTTTATGAGAATCAAATGGGATAATATAGTACTCCTCACATTTTTAAAATGTGACTTTCAATAAGAAATATGTAGAAATGAATATATAAATGTGACCTCCTAGAAGAAATAAGTATTTTCATGAGAAATGTATATGTTGTCGTGACACTCAAACGAGTCACTCTAAGGCCACAGTGGTGCCATCTCCAAAATATGTGAGGTGGTATCTAACTTTAAATGCAAAATTTGAGAATTTTAGGAAGTTAGCACAATGCCTAAAGCACATTATAAAATACTTCCTCATATTTAGAGAGATACCAAGCATTAACTTTTCCTTAGAAAAGCATATGTGTTCATACAAACCATGAACAAGGACTTCAGATGCTTTAGTTCATTATGTTTCAAATATGTCAAAAAAAATTAGGTAGGGGCTCTAACCTTTTTGGGTTTTGCAACTATGCATAAAAAATTATGGAGAGACATAGAAGTAAGAAGAAGTACAAGGGCCGGCCAAATAGCTCAGCAGATTAAAGCACCTGCAAGCAGGCTCAGGGGCTGGGGGTTCTATCCCTGGGCCTGCTGTGCTGGCCCCGCCCCCGGGACATGCTGAGGGGACAATTGAAACTGGGCATGGTGGCGCGCACCTGTAATCCAAGCACTTGGGGGCTGTAAACAGGCGGATCTCTATGAGTCTGATCTAGTAGTGAGACCCTAAACATCCTGTAGACCCTTCCCTAAAATGTAGGAAAGAAAGAGAGAGAGAGAGAGAGAGAGAGAGAGAGAGAGAGAGAGAGAGA